ATGGGTATCTTTCTAAAATGTATTATGTCCTTGTCTTCTTAAGCAGAACATACTGTACAGGACTGGACCTTTCCTTGATGGATCAGGGTCATAATTAACAAATACATTATTGTATTGTGCTGTTTTCAGGAGTAGTTAATGGTGAGCTGGGTTATTTGCTTCTTCACGATGTGCCCCCAAAAGGTTGAGCTTCTTCAGTTTTTCAGACCTGCTTTTTATGAGTCCGTTTCAACCTTGTCATTTGCCACCATGAGCTGTTCAAGTGAGTCAATCTTCCTCCTGATTTACTGCTTCTAATCAATATGGATCTGGACACTAGCATCACAGTTTTGTGGAACTCCTAAGTTAGAACAAGTTGGCTGGGTGAAGGCCTGTTATTTTTTTGCTACATTCTACAAAGGTCAAACTGCCATATCTTTGAATTTTGAATGGGCAAGATTATCGTACTCTTGCTTTATATTTTCTTTAGTAAAAGTTTAAAGTTAATGTACATATAGAAAAGTGCACAAATCATAAGCTCAACCATTTTTAACAAACTGAAAAAAAAACAAACCAAACTCAAACACATAACATTATTTGTTTTATCCTTTTCAACAATCGTATAAGACTAAAAGATTTGGTATTATCTGTTTTGACAAATGTGGAAAAGTAGGTTTGGGTAGCTTAACTGATTACTCAAATCAAAAGGTGGATAACAAGGATATATAATCCTAGTGTTCCACTACAGAAGACTTCCCATTATGCTATGAAATTTACTCAGAAGATGGAATGAGGTCCTATCAATTCTAGTATCGAATTTTGGACATATCAATTCTAGTATCTAATTTTGGACCTGAGCAGAACAAACTTCTGCCAGCATCTAACACCCTAGTGATTGTTTGGAGCTTGTATCTGCTCTGATTATCCAGTGTCCCTGCCATGCAGGTTGTTAAACATTTTGCATTTCTTCCCTGGGAAGTCAAATGCCAAGTGTTAGGAAAATAGAATAATTTAATCAGGCCCCCCCTCATTAGGTCCGGTTGGGGGTGGTGCGGCACATCCTTTGTAAATGAGTTGTGTGTGCGTGGAGTTAGTGCACATGTGCAGCGCTGCCACTTGGCTGGCACTTTTCTTACTGCCTCGGGCATCTGCCCTGCATGGCCTTGCTCTTCAACCAAGGCTCCAAGGACCTTTTTGCCAGTTACCTAGCTCATAGACCTGCATGTGAGGGGTCTGGTGACCCAGCCTGGTGTGTGAAGGGTTTGTGACCCAGTCTGGACAACAGGCTTGAGGGGTCTGTGAGCTCCAGACCCAACCCTACTCGACACCAACACATCTCCTTGGGGGAGGAGGGGCATAAATAACTCTGCAATTATGACAGATTTCCAAAAGAAATTACTAGTTCAAACTTAGATGCCTTAGTGTTCTTATCTTATTTTTTCCATTCTCTTCTTTCCTTCTTTTCATCCTTAAAGCAAGTAAAATAAATTTATTTAAAATGGAAAGACTGAACAATCATAAGAACTTTTAATTAGTATCCTAAAACTCAAATTTGAATTGGGTGTCTCTACCAAGGTTTCAAATGACTACCTGTTCTAGAAAGCTCCAAATAGTTTGAATTGCAACAGTGGTACAATCTGAACAAAAAGTCCCAATTATAAAAATGTGAAAGTTCAAAAACTTCGCAGATTAGAGCTCACTAAGGGTCTCCTCATCAGCTACAGGAATGTAGTATTTTGCATTCCTGAGTGCTTACTCAAAAAGTTCTTTTGCAAATAAACAAAATACAAAATAGTGTGAACAAAGCACTTTTCATAATTTCTTTTTCATGGAACACAAGAAATAGAATTGTTCCAAGCACGTGAGTATTTTTTAAGTGAAAATTTCCATAGGATTCAAACTTTCCAAGTGCTATGGTCATGGGCAGCAATTTAGCGGGGTAGCTCTAGAGGCAAGCTCTGTGAATGAAACCCTGTTCACCACCTACGGTTTCCATGACCAGTGTGTCTCTTCAGTTGCTCCTCTGTATAGTGGGGAACAATGGCACCCCACTACAGCGCCCACCCGAGGATTCAGTCAGTTAACACAGTGCTCAGAATCACCCCTGGCAGTGGAAAACTGCTGTTATTCCTAGGAGGGAATGGGCCTCTTCTTGAAGTTTAAGCCAATCATCTATGAAGTAAGGTTATTCAATTCAGTCACTTAAACTCAATTCATATTATCAGGTGCTTATTAACTAATTTGTAAACTATGCACTGCCCCAAGCATTACAAAAAGAAAAAAAGGTGGGGGGGGGGGCCTGCCCCAAAGGAACTACACAAAATTAGAGCTTTCATCGACTTTCTGGATAAAACAAAACTATTGCTTTTGGCAAACATTTAAGTGCATGGTTCCTTCCCTGTCCCTTCTCTCAGAGGTTTGCCTTCAAATAAAGGACATGACACCAAGCACCTAATCATCACTTAGGGGTCCGAACATCCAGTGTCCTAGGGAGAAACTGTCCAGAGGCTCTTACTGTCCAGGATAGACGAGTTTCAGCTCATTGCTGGGAGGAAAGAGCAAGTTTAACTCGAGCACAAAATTAGCTTTACTGGTGTATTATACGTAAATGTACTCTTTACTACAACTTCTATTTTTAAAATGTAAACATGGAGAGGAGAAACACAGTGGCTTTGCAAAGCATGTTTACCAGCGAAAGGATCTTTTTCAATTGTGTGCTCATAACTGAAAACTACTGGGGACAAAACTCAAACAGCTGCTGTCTCTATCCCGGTTTCAAATTATCACCTATCATTTTGCCAGTTTATACATTTTCTTGGATTTGAACAAAGTTGGAAAAACTAAATAAGATGTAAAGCCATTAAAAACGAACATATGTTCGTGGATTTTATTCGAAAGGGCTTCCTGGGGAACTTGGGCAACCTGTGCGGGGGCCTGTCACTCTCATAAACCTGATGTTATATGGGAAGAGAAATGTCTCAGGCTGTGTGAATTATCCTCAATTTTCTCATGGATAAAACTAGTTACACTTTACAGTAAATCTTCAATTAATGTGAGTCTGCTAACTTATTCTTTTTTGAAATTGTTTTGGCTATCATGGCTCCTTTTCCAAATAAGTTTTAGAATCATCTTGTGAGTTTCTACAACAAAGGGCTACATTTATGATTCCATTTATATGACATTCTGGAAAAGGCAAAAATTATATAAACAAAAATCAGGTCAGTGGTTGCTGGAGGTAGGGGAAAAATTGACTACAGAGCAGCACAAAGGAATTTCTGGAGTCATGGATTTCACAGTGACAATATATGTTTACAGTGGTGGTGGTTACATTAATATATATATCTTTGTCAAAACTCATAGAACTGTACAGCTAAAAAGCCTGTATTTTCCTGTATGTAAATGACAGCTCAGTAAACCTGACTTTTAAAAGTAATAAATGAAAAGAACCAGGTTTAATACTGCAGTAAACTGAAATTACCCATGAACCAACCATAGGCACACACATTCATTACTAGGGTACTTCAAAATGCTCATGGAAAGCCTCATATTATCTTTTAATTCTGTTTTTCAATGAACTTTTTGAAGTACCCTTGCATATAAAAATTCATCTTGATGTTTATTTTTGAATTATTTGGGTTTTTTTCTGCATTATATTTAAATATTAATAAAATTATACCTACATATAGAAAGGATTCTTTGGGAAACTTTTTTTTTCAACTATATAAATAAATGTATATTGAGTTGTGATGTAAAACTTATTTCTTACTGTGGGTCATGGTAAAAAATTTTGAAAAACACCATCCTAGAAAAACTTTCACCCCGTGTGAATAGGAAAACATATACAGCAATTTCAGTGTTACATGGTTTTGAAATACTAAAAAATTAGTAACAAGATAAATTGTACAGTATAGTGGAATGCCGATAAACCTATTAAAATGAAAAAATTAAAGCTACAACATAAGTAACTCAAAAATACAAGACTAATAAATAAAAAGGAAACCAAAGCAAGATAGGTACAGTATGATACCATTTACATGTTTTTAAACATGAAAAGTTATATTAAGTGACTCATACATTAGGAATGCTAAATACTGACATTGTAGATAATGGCTACTTCTTGAATAAAAGGGACTTCAGCCATTTCTGGTATTTTATGTTTTTAGTCATACTGTACTGTTTTGTAACCTTTTCCCCATTCACCAATATGTAATGAAGAACAATATTTTAATCACAGTGTAATTTTCCATTTCGTGAATATACCAGTTTACTTAGCAATCTCCTGTTGTGAAATATTTTCATGAATTCCACCTCTTCACTATTTAAACGTTACTTTAAAAAATATCTTTGCAATAGAATCATTACAACATACATCTTTAATTATTTCCTCAGGATAAGTTCATAAATGCTGAAGTGAAGGAGACTGCATACTTTTGAGGTTTTTGGCTTTTTATCTAGCTTCTCGCCAGAACTACTTTTCCTATCAGTACAGGAGAAATGAGAAAGAGCAGATTTAATTGAAAAGGATATGTGTGACAGTCATTAATGTTATCAATTATTCAGCATATGTATGTGTAGATTTTATTTGGAGGGCTAAAGTAAAATGTTATACTCCTTGGATCAAAATAAGTTCACTACAAAAAAAGCTTTCAAATGGTCCATTTTATTGTTTTAAGAATAATTGGATTCCTAAGTTTCCCTTTTTTACCAAGATATTTTCCTTCATAAAGAGTACCTAGAAACTTACAATACCAGTGTATTTTCCTCTTTTCTTTTCTTTTTTAATAAAATTAAGACTTCATGAGTCTCCTCCTTTAGTACCATAGAAGGAAATGATCTTGGAATAAAAACCTCTCGGATACATGACAAAATAACTCTAAGGTGTCCTAGACAGATAAAATCTCCATTTGTATTGGTCACCAAGGTTTTTCCAAATTAGCTTTTAGAAAAGTTTCCATCAATAGGGAAGGGAAAGAATCCTCTAGAACTACTAGATCTGCGGGAGTCCTAGACAGATAAAATCTCCATTTGTATTGGTCACCAAGGTTTTTCCAAATTAGCTTTTTATTAGAAAAGTTTCCATCAATAGGGAAGGGAAAGAATCCTCTAGAACTACTAGATCTGCGGGAGGGATATCAACTGAAAGGTCAAGAGTTGAAGGTATATATAAGATAGAGTCATCATGGGGATGTTATATGGGAAGAGAAATGTCTCAGGCTGTGTGAATTATCCTCAATTTTCTCATGGATAAAACTAGTTACAGATACCAAAACCAGGTGTGGAAGTGAGTGTAGAGACCTGAGTACATTTTTGTTTCTATTGCTATTTTTTGTTTTGATTGGTATTAACATAACATAAACTAGATGTAAATGTGTTATTAAACAGTAAATGTATCATGAAAAGCAGGGACCATGTTTTATTCATTTTTGTTTCTCTAGTTCTCAACTTAATGTTTAGTAATGGTAGGCAATCAATAAATATTGAACCAAATAACTAATTATTTCATTAATTCTTGTGAACAGACTGGATTATGGACAGAACTCAGGAAGATTGAAAATAATTTCTTAAAGCCACTCCATACAGGACTTAATATGTCAAAAGCACATTATGAAGCTGAAATTAAAAATAGCCAAGGTTGGTACTGTGCAATTTTGTTTTTAGTTAGGTCTAAAAATTAGTCAGATTTTGGAATTGTTATATTTATATTCAAAATAAAGAACTTTATCTTGTACTTATTTAACTTATACAAACAAGGGACCATGACAGCTGTCATTTAGTTTATAATTAAAATGATTCTTAGCAGATCTATAGGCCAATTAATACTGAAACTGAGTTAATGAAGATTTAGACCAAATTGAAGCATATTCTGTTTTAAAGCCTCAAGTTCTGATTAAGAATCTGATTGTAGTATAAGTATTTCCATTTGGGTACCATTGTACTTCCTTTGGTATTGCTGGGCCCACCCTCCATCTCACCCGCCTAGTAAAACAGCTATAATTCTCTTTATATATCAAAGAAAAATGTTTCACGCATCCTCTACATGCCAAGATAATGCTGTTTACCTAAAGAATCATTAATTCACATGTTGCAGAATTTTGATATTTAATTTTATTTGCTTATAGGTTGATATAAGTATACCCTGAACTGTTAAACAATAAAACTCAATAATTTACACAAATAACTAATGCATTTTTTAAGTTAGTGAATGATAAAAGTAGCTTATAAATTTATTATTGAAATCTGAGAGTTTTAATGGTTAAATGTGACTCAGGGTTTTTTTCCTTCTCTTTCAGAAGTCCAGAAGGCTAAAGATCTTTGTTCTATTACTGTAGGTGGAAAAGAGATCCCTAATATGCCTCCTGAAATGCAGCTTAAGGTAATCTGAACTTTTCATAAACTACATCCAGCTGGTCTTTTCTATGTTTTGTTGTGTTTGTTTTAGAGGCAGCATTAATAACACTAATTTTTCTTGGCACTGCAGGTCCTACATTCAGCTCTTTTCACATTTGATTTGATTGAAAGTGTTCTGGCTCGAGTAGAAGAACTCATTGAAATAAAAACAAAGTCTACCTCTGAAGAAAATACTGGGATAAAGTGAAAGTTTCACTTCCTAAATAAAAACTAATACTACATTTTCCATATACCTTTATAAAAATTTTTCTGTAAGAACACTGTTGGGAGAAATAAATATAGCTTTTCTTATTTATTAGTTTCTATAATGATACCTTTTTGGATTGATAGTATTCTTTGGTTTTTCAAAGATATATACATGTAAATAATGCCCAGATGAGAGCACTTCAAAAATTTCATGGAAAAATGGAATTAAATGTAATACATATCTTTCCATGAACTTTCTGAAGACCCCCCTCATATATATTCTAAAATTCTACTTCTGAAAATCCAGTACAAACTAATAATTTTGTATTTCATAAAATGTAGTTGAATTGTCTTTATTCACTCATATAGTTGTAGTGAGATTATAAAAATACTGATATACTTTCTGCTCCAGTTAGATGCTATGTAATATTTTAGAGTTAGTGTTAAGTTGTATATCATACCACTGTAAGAGTCTAGAACGAAGTTTGAGTTCAGGCCAGTTGACTGCTTCTCTTAGCTTCCCTCCCTTTCCTTGCCTCAGGAGGAGTCTTTGGGAACAGAGTCCCATCACTACCTCCCAGCAGAAGTTACAATGTGAAAGCATCTGCAAAGAGTAATTTTAGAAATACTGGCTGCCCTTGTGGAAAACCTAAAAAATATGTATGACTTTTCCTTTAGTCTAAGGAGCTAATTAGAAAATTATGTATTTTTATCTCCTACCAAATATTCGTCCATCCAATTTAATTTGTATCATTAAGAAACTGCATCTGAGTTTCATAATATATGTATGTACCAATTCTTTTCTAAACATTAAAAGAATCACTCAACAAGACTTAAAAATCACTTTTAATTGTATATATTTTAAATTAATATATACACCTTTAAAGTAAATTTATATTTGAACATTTTAATTGAACAGACCTAATTATTTTAATATTCTTCCATTTATATAATTGGCATTCTAATTGGGGTTAACTGAATCACTCAGTTTTATCTTTTGAAGTGTTTTCCAAACAGGACTTTGCTCAATGATGTAAGCTTTAGCTGTTATCATTCTGTAGCAGATGCTGTCTATGTATGGTTTGGAGGAAGTCTGGAAGAAGACACAAATATGCAGCATTATTTATAGAAATAAGATATTTTTACAGAGTCACATAAAAAAATACCTAACTTTCATTCAGTCAGCAAGTATTTCTTGATCTCCTGTGTGCTAAATAACTACATATGAGTTATAAGAGTAATAATAGAGAAGAAAATACCTGATTTCTGTCTTCAAGGAATTTCAAACATGCAAGCCAAAAAGTAGAATACTGTAAGAATTGCTTTAATGGGGATGTGTTCCAAGTACAAGAATAAGGAATACCTAATTTTGCCTAGGGAATTTGGGGGTGTCTGGGCAAACATCACAGAGGACAAATGTGAAAAAAAAAAAGCAGACAGCTGGTAAAGATATAAAATATCTGCACTCTGACAGTACATGACTTTAATCTGACCAATACTTATATTTTAGAATTTAAAAAAAGATACAAGTAACCAAGAGGGCCAGAACAATGTATATATGGCCAAATGCTCCTTTGGCCCAAAATGAGTCATAAGTGGGTAGTGGCTACTGAAAATAAATTGATAAGCCACTGGTGGAGTTCAGACTTGGGAGAGTTGCATGCTGAAATAGCAGCTTCTCTGAGGGGAACAGAAGCAGGGTATTGGTCAGTCCTTTTCTAAAGGGTGATAATTTGAAGTCAGAAACCTTAAAATACATGAGTATGTGATAGCGTTTGGATGTGTTGTCCCTGCCAAAACTCATGTGGAAATTTGTTCCTGAATGTGGCAGTGTTAGAAACTGATTGAGTCATGGGGGCGGATCCCTCATGAATGGATTAATGCTCTCCCTGGGTGGGGGGATTAATGAGTGAGTTTTCGCTCTATTCCTGCAAGAGCTGGTTGTTTTTATTTCTTTTTTCTTTTTTCTTTTTAAAAAGATGACCGGTAAGGGGATCTTAACCCTTGACTTGGTGTTGTCAGCACCACACTCACCCAGTGAGCAACTGGCCATCCCTATATATGGGATCTGAACCCGGGGCCTTGGTGTTACCAGCACCGCACTCTCCCAAGTGAGCCATGGGCCGGCCTGAGCTGGTTGTTTTAAAAAGACCCTGGCACCTCGCCTCTCTTGCTTCCTTTTGCCTTGTGATCTGCTTGTACCTGCTGACTGCCTGCCGCTTTCTGCCATGAGTAGAAGCAGCCTGAGGCTCACGCCAGATGCAGCTGTCCCATCTGTTCTTCAGAAATTACCCAGTCTCAAGTATTTCTGTGATAGCAACACAAACGGACTAAGATAGTATGTATGTATACATGTGCCGTTTTCCCCAGGCAACTCACCTTAGCTATAGTGCACATAAGATTAACAGCATTTACTGTGTTGTGTACTGGAAGTATCCTTAAATTACTACCCAGGAATCTGAAAAAGAATTCATAAGTTATGCAGATTACATAATTTACTGTCATCTGTTCTCTTAAATAGGTGGGAAAAAGAGAGAAACCTCTGTTGTTTGTTTCTTATTTATTCATTCATGACTTGCCTTATTCCATGGAGGATTTGTGGTGGCTTTATAGCAGGAACTTAGTTGACTAAAAAGTGTTCATTTTTGGTTTAGTCTTCCAGGAGAAGCACATAAATCAGCATGAACTCTGAAACTTGTCACCCAGATTCACAGAATGGCTATTTAGCCTGTGTTTCATTAAATATGACAGGTTAACATTATAAAGTTTATCTTCTAGCAAAACAAAACTCACCTGCCTAAAAGAATTAAGAACTGAAGTAAACACAATGTAAGAAAAAATAAGAAGTCTGCAGTGCTGTTCTTCCATACCTCTGCTGAATCCTGAACATCAGTTTCCATTCTTTGGGCCCATGCAGGGCAGCAAACAGAACCAAAAAGCTATTTTGGTGAATGTTAATAAACTTCTTGATTTTGGCTAGAAATATTTCTTCAGCTGACACAAAGCATACTTCAGCATCCATCAATAAAAATGCAACTCCTGGGAAAGGTGAATATAATATAAAATCTCACTTTGTCATATAGGTCAAATTTTGTTGTAAACTCAATATAATCAACAAAAACAGTATAACATAAAAAGTATCCAGGCCTTAAACTCATAAGGAGTAGATATTACGATAACACAATTCTCACACAACAAAATGATTCAGGTAGTTCTTTGAAGTGCTCTGTATAAAAGAATCACCTATTCTAAATATTTAAGAGAAGAACTTCTTTGGTTAGTAACTTTTTTTTTCAGACCAAGGCACTATCCACATGAAGGTAATCCTTAGTTTTTAGTTAAAAGACGAATTACATTTAAAAACTTAATTTTCATGTTATAATGATTTTTAAAAATGTTTTCTTGGCATATTATAAAGAATATTACAAAGGATTCAGATGAACCACCAGATGGAAGACATGCATAGGGAAAGGCATGTGGGAAGAATGTGGAGCTTCAATGTCTCTCAACCTGCCGCCCCCCAGGCACCTCCATGTGTTAATCAACCCAGAAGCTCCTATAATTTTTAAAAGCTGGAAATCAACTAATGAAAGGTAGTCTTAGGCAAGCCTTCAATTATTTCTTGCTGGAAAAAAACCTTCTGCCCAGAACATAAAGAGTTAAATAAATCAGTATAAATCCCAGATATCTGGGATCTCTGAAACAGTGTCAGACCCAAAATTATGGTTCTGAAGGGAAACGATTAAATATAGCTCTTCAAAAGATGTGGGAAAGACATCTAGAAAAGTGACTATGTGATTACATACTAAATGAATATATACTTGGGCAATTTTTATAACCCCTCAATGTAAGTTTCCTCATCTGTAACAGAATAATAATGCTTTGTTAGGTTTGGCAGAAGAACCAAAGATGATAATGTATATAAAGTGGTCAAGGCACATAGTATTTACCAAAAATATTTTACTTCTCCCTAGAGGGCTCTCTGTTCGACCAGAAGAATGAATTTGAGGCTGGACCACTTTCATCCTGGAGGACTATTTCTAGGAGGTTTTGAAAGCGTTTGTCTTCCAAAACCTCTGCTAGAGTACAGGTCTATTTGCAACCCTCCTGATAAAATCCTTTACCTCCAAGTCTTTTATCACTTCTATCATTTTTCCAAGCACAGGTGGAGCTGTGCCTTTCCCACCACCCCAGTTTCTCTTATTCTAATCTAATTCCTTCCGTACTTTGCCCATGACTGACAGTTGTATGTTTTATGATTTAAGGAACATTTATTAGTCCTCATATGAGTCCTCATATGATTCTTTTAGTTAATATTGTTTACATTATATTCAGCAAATTCTCATACAAAATCATGAAAAACACTTTCCTATATATATATATATTTTGACCAGTGTCATGATGTTGGCCTCTGTTAGTACAGGTAGTAGTTTAATGTAAGTATTAATTGTTGGGAAGGTAGTTTTTTCTATGTTCATCTTAGTTCCAGAGCAAGTAGTTTTTCTGTTCTCTACCAGGATACACTAGTTCAGCTTTATTTTAACAATTGTAAGTTTAAAAGGAATATATTTTGTAACCGGCTACATGCACTGCTTTTGCAGCAGTAACAAAGTTTTATACATTTACCTCTCCCAAAAGATAACACCTTAAACTTATTACATGGTTACTGAACTATGAAATTATTAGAATTTATGCCCACATATTTTATAAGAAACTTAAACCAAGGCAGTTAGCAAATATACCTTACCAGAAAGAGAAAATATAATTGATCCGTTTTCCACTGAATCTGAATACCGAACTTTGTGGCTTTGATTTTCTAGGGCAGTCGCAATTTCGTAACTCTTCAAAAAAATTTTCAGAAATACAAACTTAAGACATGCTTACAATAATTTTTTATTAAAGCTAATGAAAAAATTGAAAGAAGTTTAATAGCTTCATTTATAACTATATCACTTAAACACGTGATCATCAAAAGAGAAACTAACTGCTCTCTATGGAGAAAAAACTTTTTAAAACTTTAAAAAAAACTTTAAAACTTTTTTAAAAAGAGCAAAAATACTTAGTTCTACTGAAACACTTATTGTAAGTTTGAAAATGAGTTGTGTACTT